AGTGTCACTTCACATAGAAGTGGAAACCTTGAGGCTAGACTTAAAGGTTCTGTGTAACTGGCACTTGAAAGGTCAACAGGATCTCATTCGGTTCGTGTGGGTGTATTCCTCTTCACAGTGTGCCCAGTCGAGGGTGGGAGTTCACGGTGCAGAGCCTGTAGCATATACATTGGGATATGTTTTTACTTCATAGGAAGCTTGAGTTTACACACTCGGCTGCTTGTTTTCTTGCCCAACAGTGTCACTCTCTTCTTTGACCAAAAGTGTTCATCACTCACAGAGTAAAATCCTTTCCTACCCGCTGCCCTGGCCAAATGGGGATACACCGAGGATAATCTATGAACTACCTACAGGTGTTCACGGACAACCATGTCATCTCTTCTCCTCCCTCCCCATCAACACCTTGGAATTCTGACCCGACCTTTAGCACCTAGCCCAACGGCCGCTTCCCCGGGAAGCTGTCTGGCTCCCAGTGAGAGGGGTGCCCACTGGCACACTTCTCTCTCCTTGTGACATTTTCACAATCTGCCTCTAACTATCTGGGGAGAAAACTGAGCCCCTGTGCCCAAGGGTAGGAACTGTGTGTACTGTGTGTCCCTCGCCCCCAGAACAGCTCTGTAAGCCCAGTACATCTCAAGGAAAAGAAAATCAGTAAGGCTACAGAAGAATAACACAATATGATTGACAACCTTGTTCTAATGGACATCTAGAAAATTCTGCATCCAACACCCACACAGTAAGCCCCAAACACTTAAAAACTGAGTATAGCATAGGCCATAATGCAAATCTCAACAGATGTCAAAGGACTGGAATAACACACAACATGTTCTCTGACCACAATGCTGTTAAGCTGAAAATCAGTAACAAAAAAGATAACTCTAAAAATGTTTGGGAATTAAGAGACATGCTTCTTATTTACAGATGAAACAATATGATGTCTGACAGTTGCTTTAAAATTTTCCAGTGGCAAGACAAAGTGAGGGAAAGGGGGATATAGATGAAACAAGGTGGGCCTGGAATGGATAACTGTTGAAATTGGTAATAGGTACATGGGAATTCAGCATACTATTCTCTCTATTTTTGTGTATTTCTGAAAAGTTTTTTTTAAAGAAATACTTTTTGATTACCCACGGGTCAAAGAAGAAATAATAATGGAAATTAGAAAATATTTTAGTTGAACAATAATAATAGTAACGTAAACCGAAACCAATGTTGCCGTTGAGTTGATTCCAACTCATAGCGACTCCATGGGACAGAGTAGAACTGCCCCATACAGTTTCCAAGGAGCAGCTGGTGGAATCAAACTGCCGACCTTTTGGTCAGCAGCCGAGCTTTTAACCAGTGTGCCACTGGGGATCCAATAATAGTATATTAAAATTTGTGAGATGCAGCTAAAGCAGCATTTAAAGTGGATTTGTAGCCTTAAAGAAAGTTAATCAACACAAAAACTTAGGGAAAAGTATAGCCAACTAAACCCACAGAAAACAGGAAAAGAAAGACAATAAAGGTTGGAGAAAAGTTAATGGAATAGAAAACAAATTATAGATCAACAAAACTAAAGTTGGTTTCTTAAAAAGACTGAGAAGTTCATCCCAATAGCCATTTTTGTAACAGCATTGAATATACGCCAGCCACTATTTCTCAGAGCTGGTTTTCCCCATCCCTCCCTGACTTTTGTCCCCTTCCTTTCATAGATGACATTCAGGGTGAGTCTCCGGCTCCGTGTGGGACAGAGGAACCCGCCCGCACCTGCCCCAATGGGACCAAATGTCAGCCCTACTGGGAAGGGCCCAACAACGGGATCACTCAGTTCGACAACATCCTGTTTGCAGTGCTGACCGTCTTCCAGTGCATCACCATGGAAGGGTGGACTGATCTCTTGTACAATGTAAGTGTGTTGGGGCATGGGCACCGGTGTCGTGGGGCAGGTGACTCTCAAGACCAGTGAT